TAAGACATAAGGAATTTCAAAATCTGACATTTTGACTATGGAGGGGAATGTAGGACTGGTCTTACACTGGCAGATTCTTCTCTTTTGAATACTCTATTACCTGAAGAAATATTTTTCTTTTTCTTGTTTTTTTTTGAGATGGAGTCCTGCTCTGTCGCTGAGGCTGGAGTGCAGTGGCACAATCTCGGCTCACTGCAACCTCTTGCCTCCCAGGTTCAGGTGATTCTCCTGCCTTAGCCTCCCTAGTAGCTGGGATTACAGGTAACTGCCACACACCTAGCTAATTTTTATATTTTTAGTTGGCCAGGCTGGTCCCATACTTCTGATCTCAGGTGATCCGCCCATCTCGGCCTCCTGAAGTGCTGGGATTACAGGCCTGAGCTACCACACTTGGCCAGAAATAATTTTCTGCGTCAGTACCCTCAGAGACATTGGGGACCATAATAAAGTAAGAAGCAAATTTAGCTCATTTGAGGCTATTGATTGAGGAAGAGGATAGAATTAGAAAACTTAATTGGTTTTGAAATATGTACATTTTATTTTATTATTTTATTTTATTTTTTGAGACAGACTCTCATTCTGTCCCCCAGACTGGTGTGATCTCAGCTCACTGCAACCTCTGCCTCCCAGATTCAAATGATTCTCCTGCCTCAGCCTCCCGAGTAGCTGGGACTACAGACTACGCCCATCTAATTTTTTGTATTTTTAGTAGAGATGGAGTCTTACCGTGTTAGCCAGGATTGTCTTGATCTCCTGACCTCATGATCCACCTGCCTTGGCCTCCCAAAGTGCTGGGATTACAGGCGTGAGCCACCGTGCTGGCCGAAATACACACATTTTAAACAAGCATTCTCTTTATACTCCAGTACAATTAAATAGGCAAGGTGAAGGCAGAGTGACCAGGAGAGAAGGTGGCCTCAGCATCTGTCTAAGCTCTGGTCATAACCTGTGCTTTTGGCCCCTGGCTCTTTGAAGTCCTTTGAAGTTGCCTGTAGCCTATGAAACCTGGCTTGAAGCTTCTCCTTGCTCTTTCTTCTTCCAGTCTGAGGCTGCTCTGCAATGGGAGGGCTGCAGCAGCCCTCTGCAGGCTGGTGTTGATCTCTGAGCCATGACCGCCCGTGGACTGGGTGGAACTAGGCCAGGACTCAGGGCTGCCCGTGGACACAGTGTCACCTTGGCACTGAACACTAAGAACTGTGCTTTGCAGGGCTGTGAGGAAGAAGGTGTGGCATTTGGCCAGTTCCCAGTGAGCGTGACTACATACCGAACACGAAGTTGTCTGGCCTGAAGATCTGGCCGAAGGGTCCAGACCTGACGGAGTCCATGGTGCCAGGCTCCAGATCCACCAGGATGGCCCGAGGTACGTATTTGTTACCTGCGGGGAACGGGAACGGACTCAGACCTGTACTTAGGGAGGGACTCGCAGCAGCATTCATTAGAGACAGCTCCAGCATCTGAGACAAAAGGAGAACAGGAGGTTCTCTGCTTTTAAGAAAAAGGAGGTCTTGAGTGTGCTTAGCCGTGGCTAACAGGCAGGAGTCTCAGGGCACCATTAAGCGTGTTTTTCCAGGAGCTGGCATTTGAAATGAATATGCAAGAAGCATGCCTTTGTCACGTGCATGTTCCTAGGACGTTTCATCTCCCACAGCATGGGAAGCAAGGGTTCCTGTTAAGAAGAAGGAATCTTCTTGCTAACACACCCTGCTACTCACCAGCAGCCTCATTGTAGTACACGTTGATTCTCTCCAGCTGCAAGTCACTGTCTCCATGGTAACTGCCTGTGGGGTCGATCCCATGCTCATCGCTGATGACCTCCCAAAACTGAAATGAAAAAAGAACCACACCATGGCCCAGCATCCTGAATGTCACTAAGGATGGCCTTGTCCTCCTCCCACGTCCTTGGAACAGGGGCTTTTGTGGTCAGTTAGTGCTAGACAGAGAGCAAAGAGCTGCACTCCCTATTTCCTGCAGCAGCTGCTGCTGAGGGGCTTGAAAATCCGCAGAGCATCGGCCATATTATGGCGATAGACTGAAAGGCTGGGAGGGGCCCTGGAGGAGGAGGGGGCACAGCAGATGCCCTTCTAGAGAGAGGGTCAGGAGGGTAGAGACGTGGGAAAGGGGTCCAGGGAGGCTCTGTCACCCCAGGCAGGGCTGAATGCCATTGCATCCGGGATGACTGATGGGTCGTGGCAGGACTGAGGACGGGGAACCCACACTGTGGCTGCCTCCAGGAATCAAGCTCTCTTGGCACAGATCCCAGGCACCCCTGCAACAGTGCAGGTTTAAGCCACCGATCTACATGCTGGCACTGACCACAGGAGAGACTGGGCGGGGAAGGGCAGCAGGAGCCTGGGAGGGCGCCTGGGCGGCAGTGGAAGGAGCTGGCCATGGTGAGGGCGCTGGCTCCATTGTGAATTTGCGACAGAGAGGGGGCAGGGAGGCTGGGTGGGCAACATGGCGGTTCTCAAAGAGACCACGTCCTTGTACAGGCACCCGCCCCCACCCATGCAGCAGGCCGGCTGCTGCCTCCCACACAGCGGTCGGTAATTGCAGCTCCCACCCAGCACAGTCACCTGCCACCTCAGGGACTGGCAGCAAGACTATCGCGTTATAAGTCTTCATGTCTAGACAGTGCGGGAGCAAGGGAGCAAGGTAATTTAGCCTGTGTGACCCAAAGGGAAGCGTCTGTTACACCTGTCAGTCCAGTGACACTGCATATTTTCATTCAAACCTTTGAGAAAAATGTACAAATTAAATTTCTCATGAAGCTAGCGGAATAAATATGACCATATCCTCGCCCCAAGTTTCTGAGACTAATACACCCAGCGGAATGCCAACTGCGTCCCGGAGAAGGGCTGTGTCCCAGGGAAATCCAAACGGCGCCGACCAGAGACTGACACAGCTGCATCCTGGCAGGTCGTGCAGCCTCCCCCGCCTTGCCCGCCCGCTTCTCAGCGGAATGTACCACACGGCGAGCCCCGGGCCGCCGAGGCTTCCCCCCCCCCGCCCCCGTCCCCGTCCCAGCCCCAGCCCCAGCCCGCACCCTCAGTCCCCAGCCCGGGCCCCTCCGCGGCGGCGCGCCCACCTTGGCGCCGATCTGGTTGCCGCACTGTCCCGCCTGGATGTGCACGATCTCGCGCATGGTGCCGGCTGCGGAGCGGGTGGCGCTGGCCCTCGGAGCGGTGCGCGGCGTGGACCGGCGGGCTAGGCTGCGCAGAGACCTGCCGCCGCCCCCCCCAGCTCCATCTTTTATACCCGGGGACCCGCCCTGCCATGTGACGTCATGATGGGCGGGGCTGCGCCCGCGCGAGCGGCGCTGCTGGGACTGCGGCACCGCGAGGGGGAGCCGGGGCGCGGTGCGAGATGCGGGGGCGCTCGACAGGTTGCGCCTGCTGCTGGGCCCCGAGTGGGCGCCCGGCCTTGCTGTCTGGCGGCCAGTGTGGTGCCCGGCTCAGGCCCAGCCGCAGCCCCCTGCCCGATCTGCGGGCGCCGGCCGCCCCCCGGCGCTGGGTTCGCTCACGCCGCAATCCCCACCCCACCCCGCCCACTCTGGACCCAAAAGAGGGGCTAGAGACGGGAGGGGCTGCCTCGGAACAGGGTCCTAGCCTCCCAGGGCCTGGAAGAGGCGTCGAGCACCATTTGAAGTGGGGAGCTGGGAATTGAAGACCCATTTACAGAGGAGTCTCCAGCGGGCGGCAAAGGTTTCCCGCATCCTAGGCAGGAGCTTGGACTCTGCTCCCGCTCCATCCTAGCTGGGACGCCAGTGCGGGGTGGCGGGGACAGAGTGGAGGGGAGTGGGGAGCTCCGGGGAGCCGACGGGCAGCTGCTTGAAAGGAATGCCCGGATGGCGGGGTGGGCGGCCTTTCGCCCCCGCAGGGAAGAAAGATGGCTTTGTGGGGGGCGGGGCGAGGGCCAGAAAAGCGCTGGATTTGTCACATGTCCTGGGCTCCTGCGCCCTTGTAAAGGCCTTTTAAATGTGGAAAATTCTGTGTGTGTGCGCGCGCGTGTGCGTGTGTGTCAGAGAGGAGAGACAGGAGGAATATATCTGCCACGTTGATGTGTTAGCCTGTGGCCCTGCCCCTTACACACCTTAGGTCACCTGATCCTCACAGAAGCTTTCAGAGCTGGGCTATCCAGTTCGGTAGACCTCAGGCACTCGTGGTTGCTGAGCATTGCAACGTAGGTTGTCTGAACTGAAATGTGCTGTTAAGTGTGAAGTACACACTGGGTGTTATGGGCTCAGTAAGTTAAAATACTGTGAAATATTTATTTATTTATTTATTTATTTATTTTTGGAGACGGAGTCTCACTCTGTCACCCAGCCTGGAGTGTAATGGCTTGGTCGGCTCACTTTAACCTCCGCCTCCCGGGTTGAAGAGATTCTTCCCCCTTAGCCTCCCAAGTACCTCGGACTACAGGCGCATGCCACCACACCCGGCTAATTTTTGTATTTTTAGTAGAGACAGGGTTTCACTATGTTGGTCAGCATGGTCAAGTGCTGGGATTACAGGCATGAGCCACTGCACCTGGCGTTCATTACTGATTCTTAAATATTGATGGCCTATCAAAATAATAGTGTTTTGGATACATTGTGTTAAATTACTTGTTTTGAAATTAGAAAATGCAAAATTGCATACGTGGTTTCCATTTGCTGCTGACTTATGCATATTTTTGTTGACTACCACTGGTTGGGGGTAAGCATTATTAATATCCCAATTTCATAGTTCAGAAAGCGAGGCTGAAGGAATCTCAAGTCTTTGTACAAGGAGAAAGCCCAGGTGAGTTTTAAAGGCTTGGGTGGGCTGTGGTAAGGACCAGCCTCAATTATTCATAAAGACAGCCCTGCACAGTGGGCCGGGTAACAGGGGCCTGGGGACTGCCTTTGGTTCCCAGCACATTCCAACTATATAATGATGATAATTACAGGTGCCCTGGAGCTGGCTTTGTGGGTAGGAAATGAGAAGCCATAGTATATGAAAGCACAGTGAGTTTATGGAGCAAAAAAGCCTCAGTAAAACCCAAGGTGATGCCGTCATTCTTAATGTGCACCCCACTTGCCACCTCAATAGCTGCTCTGTATTGGAGGTGGAAACTAAAGCCACACTTGTGAGTAGCCTCTTAGGCCAAGTTGGGTCTTTTTTTTTTGGAGACGGAATCTTGGTCTGTGGCCAGTCTGGAGTGCAGTGGTGCGATCTTGACTCACTGCAACCTCTGCCTCCCAGGTTCAAGCGATTCTCCTGCCTCAGTCTCCCGAGTAGCTAGAACTACAGGCGCCCACCATCACACCAGACTAATTTTTGTATTATTAGTAGAGACGGGATTTCACTGTTTCAGCCAGGATGGGCTCAATCTCTGGACCTTGTGATTCTCCCACTGGGATTACAGGCATGAGCCACCTCGCCCAGCCCAAGTCAGGTCGTAATCACCCCAGCTTTGGGAAGCACCCAGCATCCTCCCAGCATGTACGAAGGTGGGTGACTGGTGCCTCTTCTCCGGGTGGGGAAGGATTTTCTAGAATTTCCCCTCCTCTCTCCCCTTTCCCTGCTGCTGGGCAGCCACTGGACAGCCTGTCCCTCAGATGCTATTCCCAGGTACCCAGGGCTTGGCCTCCACCTTCTCCCCACCCCAACTCCACATCTTGGCTCTTCACCACCAGCCAGAGCCTTCCAGAATCTCTCCAGAGAATGGCCCTCCTTGGGGTACTTTAATGTATTACACAGTTCGCAAAGATTTTTTTTTTTTTGAGACGAAGTTTTGCTCTTGTTGCTCGACTCACCACAACCTCTGCCTCCTGAGTTCAAGTAATTCTCGTGCCTCAGCCTCCCGAGTAACTGGGATTACAGGTGCCCGCCGCCACGCCCAGCTAATTTTGTATTTTTAGTCGAAATGGGGTTTCTCCATGTTGGTCAGGCTGGTCTCAACTCCCGACCTCAGGTCATCTGCCCCCCCCCCTGCCTCCCAAAGTGCTGGAATTACAGGCATGAGCCACTGTGCCCAGCCCTATTTCCGCAAAGATTTTCTGGAGAAAATTGCTTCTTGGCCTTTGTGTTTTAATTCAACGTGAAGTCTGAGGCCAAATAGGAGCAGAGGATGAGACCTGAAAGGACAGTACTGGGGACACAGGGACCCCTAGCAAGTGGGCGTGTCCTCGCCTGTGGAGCATGTGCTGTCTGCTGTTCCTAGCTCAGTCCTCCAGCAAGTCACCACATGGCTCTGAGCCTCTCTTACCGTATCTGAAGAATGGAAATGGGTTTTTCTTACATTGGGAAGATGAGAGGCGCTGTCTGAACTGGACATTAGCGAGCACACAGCAAATAAATCCATGCAGTGCTCACAGGCGCAGGCCAGGCACCTGACTCTCTGCTCTGGGTGGCTGACAGTGAATGTTCTGCCCAAGTTGGGTTCTCCTGCCTAGCAGCTCATGCCCAGCCTACTCCTCTGGCGCCCTCCTCCCGCGGCGCCGCTTGTAATGTCTGTTAGTATATAATCAGAGAAACTCATACGCGTACTTTTGAATAATGCCTGCCCTGCCTAAGGTGACTCATCTGAGGCTGAGTTCCTGCTCTCCCCTCCCTCGCCTTGTACAGCACTGATGCAGATAATAACAGGAGGAAATGGAGCCTGCTAATTCTTCCCTTCCCTAGAACAGGCTTTTGAGGGACAATCTCTCCCCTTTCATCTGTTTTTCGGTGTCTGAAGAGGAGCAGCTCCACTGGCTGTTGGGTGGACCCTGGATGGGGAAGGGGAAGGGAACAATCTCCTCCCACCTCAGGTCACTTCCTGCTTTAGACATGATGCCACTCGCAGTGTCTGAGCCACCCCCTCCCTGAAGGCATCATGGTGGGTGGTGGGTGGAGGGCGGGTGTAATGACAAAATTCAGACTAGAGACTGTGTTCCCGGTAGGAGGCTGAGCCACATTGTCTTTTACAAAAGGAATAAGCTCTTACCCTTCTGCCTGCCCTTCCTGCCTCCTGCTTCAGATGGCCCAACAAGAAGGGTCCTGGCAAGAACGTTCTGGTGAAAAGTACCCTGTGAATACAGGGTGTTATGATGATATCGTTACTATTCACTGATGCCATCTCTAAAGGTGACAATTATGATCTAGTTGAAATAGATTTAGTTGGTCCAAGTAAGAGAGTCCTGGAATTTTGAAAACACTAGTTTCCTCTGCAGAATGATGAAAATCCAAGGACCATCCCAGCAATACAACTGTCTAAATTTGTAAGGAACAGTCTTGCATCCTGTTTGTTTGTGCCCTCAGAGCAGGCCCAGGAAACTAGCTGCACCCTCTGCTCCAACTTCTTTCCCATGAAACTCATCCAGTGTGGCCCCTGACTGCTATTTGTTAAATAAAAGCATCTCTTTATGAAGATGGAAGAATTTTTGTTCAAAGCATTTAAGGGGATGTAACCTTTTCAAAAGGTTACCTAAAATAAAAGTCTGAACTCCAATTCATTTTTTTTTTTGCATCAGATGACTATAATAATGCAGAATAAATATATAGAAGGTATTTTTTATTTATTTTTTTTTTTTAAAGATGGGGTTTCACCATGTTGGTCAGGCTGGTCTTGAACTCCCGACCTCAGGTGATCCGCCCACCTTGGCCTCCAACGTGTTTGGATTACAGGCGTGAGCCACCGCGCCCAGCCAATATATAGAGGTTTTTAAGTCACTTTCTGGAATGGGCCATGTCCCAGAATGTGACATTCACATTACAAGTGTCAATCTGGGGCCTTTCAAAACTGAAGATGTCATTCTTTTTTGTTTGTTTATTTATTTTTTTAGAAATGCAGTCTCTGTCGCACTCAGGCTGGAGTGCAGTGGCGTGATCTTGGCTCACTGCAACCTCCACCTCCCAGGGCTCAAGCGATCCTCCTGAGTAGCTGGGATTGCAGGCACTCACCACCACACCTGGTTAATTTTTGTATTTTTGGTAGAGACAGGGTTTTGCTATGTTGGTCAGACTGGTATCAAAGATGTCATCCTTGATGTGAAATTCTCATTAAGGTATACCCCTCAAATTTAAAAAATGTATATATATATGCATATAATATACACAGTGATTATATATACATATATACATATTTTCTGATTAGAAAAACTTACAAAGTACTAAAGAATACAAGTATATCTTTCCACTGTTCTCAAAAATTTTTTTTAAATATTTGATGTATTATATTCCTTTTTGTTTTTCCTATTCATGGGCTGTTTAGGTGTTTTTGTTCCTTTATAACATTTTTTTGCCTTC